CAGCTCACCTCATTCTCGGCATCCCTCGTTATTACCCATGAAAAAAACAATGGCCGCTTGCTTGAGTTGCCTCCACTCACCTCCAGCTCCAAGGCCCTAACTCCAAGTTTCTTTATATTCTTAATTTTTTAATTTGTATCTTAAACTTTTATTATGTTTGATATTCAAGTTCTAACAATGATGGGAATTTCTTCCATTTATTTGAGGAGTTGGAGGAGAATGATGATGAGGATGATGAGTCTAGGGCAAATTTTAAACAATAATATTTATTTATACAGATTATTATATAAAGAACTTTTTCTAAAATTTTGTTAACTTGGGGTATTTGTTTTTGTTTCAGGAAGTTATTTCCTTAACTTGAAATTATTGATCAAGCTTAGTTTAAGTTGCTGCTGCAGAGTTTGCCTTGCTGGATTGGATGGATGTGTATGCATTTGCCACTTACTAGACTCTTTTATGCCATTTTTCTTAATGAACTTATTGATAGACATGTATGACAGCAGTTTATGCATTTTTTTTTCCTATGAACTTTGCTGGACCTAAACGTGTATGACAGTTGTAGTTTATGCCTTTTTTTTTTTTTTATGAACTTTTTGTTGGATTTGTTGGACTTGTATGGTAGTTTATGCCTTTTTTCTTTATGAACTTGTTGCTGACTTGTTGGACCTGCTTGACATGTATATATTGGCCGTGTATATTTACTGCAATTGGAGTCCTGGACATTACTTTGTTGGATTGCATGTGTAACATATTTACTTGTTTGTCTTGTTTCAAATTTTTACTTTATATGATTATTTGAGCTAATTTTATTTGATGAATATGAAAACTAGTGGAGTTTGAGCAAACCCATGTTGAGCTTAATTTTAATTAACAAGTAGTGGAGTAAGTGATAGTTTTATTTGGTAGGAACTTTGAACACCCGCGGGACATGATATGGGGACTGAAGTTATTTTTAACCCTCTGCCAAAAATCCCAATGGGAATCCCTATACCCACCATTGGTGGGGGTGGGGATGGGGATGGGGTCCTTGCCCCGTTGGGGATCGTTGTCATCCCTACTTAGATGGCATCTACACGGGAAAACAATAACTAACATAAAATTTAGGTTTTTCTAACTTTTGACTTAAGGGCACAAATTAATAGTGCAATTACTATATTTTTTTACATTAATTAATATTAAAAAAATTAACATTTATTCAAGTAATTACCTAATTAAAATAATACACATGACATTAGTGATGAAATTAATAACAATTTTTATATTTTTTAATATTAATTAATATTAAAAAAATATAATAATTACACATTTAACTTAAAAAACCCATAAAATTTTGTGGCCTCAAGGACATAAGACTGGTATTTAAAAGGCATCGGACTTAATTGCATTACAAATACGAATACTCTAAGACAAAGACCTTCTCATTCTTATAAATTGGCCAACAC